CAAGTCTCCCTTCATCACCATTTCTTCCCTGTTTACCCTGCTCTACCTCCCCACCAGACCCCCTTTCCCTCTGACGGCTGCCAGTCTATTCCCTGTATCACTGCAGCGTTATTTACAACGGCCAAGATGCGGAAGCAGCCCAAGTGCTCATTAGTAGACAACTAGATAAAGGCTGTGTTCCATTTACACAACAGAATACTACTCAGCTATAAAAAAGAAGGAAATTCTACCTTTTTCAATAGTATGGATGGACCTGGGGGACATTATACTGAGTGACATAAGTCAGAGGAAGACAGGTACCATATGATTTCACTTATATGTGGAATCTAATGAACAAAACAAACTAACAGAAAATAGAACAGACTCATAGACACAAGGCTGCCTTTTTCTAAGTCACATAAAGGCACGGCACGGACGAGGGGAGGGCCCGCAGAGGGGCGCGGGGACAGGGAGAAGCCCGCTGCCTGCCTGCGGTGCAGGGGCCGGGCGAGGCCTCCGGAGGAAGAGGGTGTGAGTGCCTGCGGCGGGCAGCGCCCGCAGAAGTTCCGCAGCGCGCCCGACTGACTTCTTTTTACTGGGTTTCTGGTATGGTGCATAAATAGTTCTTCAGGAAACGTATTCTTAAACTGCAGCTAGAAAGAAATCTGCCCTTCAGCCTCTCTGAAGTCAATCTGCAAGTGAGCGGAAGTGTATGTGAAGCCTGAGCAAGAAAACGAGGCGGCGCAGGCCGCGCAGGCCGTCAGCTCCTCCCTCTGGCAGGACCCGGGGCCTGTTCTCCAACCGCGCTTTGCCTTGGTGGGTGGGTTGGCAGTCCGGGCATTTTCCAACGTGTTTTGGTAGGGACTCTGGGGCAGAGTCAGAGGTGACTGCTGCTTCATGGCTGAACAAAGGAGCTGTGAGAACCCTGCTTTTCGGCTCCCCCAAAATTAACCCTTCATTGGATAAGAACGACAAAAAGCATTTACTGAATTGGTTCATCCACTTTAGAAAATCTAGCCATCAGCCATCTCTGGGGTTGTGGAAGTGAACTCCGTCCTAAGGAACGATGTACTCTGTTCCTACTAATGATGAAGACAGTACATCGCAGGGGCGCAAGCTGGCGCTGTCACCACCGTGTCACATGCTGGACTGCAGAGCCACCTGTGCCACCTGTGCTCAGGTGTCAGTGTTTCCTCAGTGCTGCCCCATGACAATGTCTGAGGCAGGCTCTCTTTGTGTCCCCATTTTACAGACTAGATAACCGAGGCACAAACCGGTGTAAACAACTTTCTAAGGTCGCTGAGCTTCCCAGCAGCAGGACTGCGACTCGAACTCTCCGCAGTGGGGCCCTCAGGCTTGCACTCTGGGCCATTCCACTGCTCTGGTTTATTGGGGAAGTATCCAGCCTAGGCTGTAGGTGCTATTGAAAAACCATCCATGAAGCTTTCTTCATTGTGGAAACACGAACACCAGTCAACATCCAGAATTCACCAGACTGCCAGTACAACCAGCATTTTAGGCGGAATAAGCTTTTGGACGTATGGACAAAAACCTTTAGTAAGAAAAGCAGGGTGAACAAGGCGGCACAAGGGCACCAGGGCTCTGACCTTCTCTTTCAAAAAGTGGGCCCCAGGCCTGGCCACCCGGCTCTGCCGATGCCCCAGGCTCCAACCCCACTGCCAGGCCCCGGCCAGCTGTGTGTCCTGGCTGAGTCTGCAGGGCGCCATGACTGCTTATGAGCATTGTCTTAAGACTTCCCAACAGGGTCATCAGCAGAACTGTGGTTTCTAGGGATGCTTCATAGAAAAGCCTCTCGTGGTCAGTAGGTTTGGGACATCGGGCCTCTGCCTGTGAAAGACTGACACTGTGCCTGGACCTAACTCAGGGCCTCAAGAACTCTACACTGGTGACCCTGTGTAACTTTTAAAATTGAGTATTTCAGAAACTTGTATGATTATGGAATTCTGTGTTTCTCAGATTGTCTATGAAAGCACCAGCAAGACTACTGCTTGAGAAATGCTGTCTCAAGGTGCGCATGTCGGCAAGGAACAGCCGGACCCACAGAAAGGGCAGGGAGGACGGAAAAGGTGTCTGAGGTGGGAATACGGGTAGGCACAAACTGAAAGATCTATAAGGCTTACCACAGTGCTTCTTATGTATTAGCCCTAATTAAAAAAACAAAAAACAAAAAAACCAAAAATCTGTTCAACTGCAGTGCACAAAGGGGGCAGGAATTTTGGTTATGTGAGACGAAACAGCAGGTCTGCCATATTGGCCGTCTGTGCACAGTGAGACCAGTTAGTACACACGACCTCTCTTACTTCTGGGAAAGAAAAAAGGAGCACAGTGCATTGGTACGAAGCAGACCAGAGGGAGGAAATGGGAAGGAAGGGCCCTTCGCTTGGACTTCAGAGCTAAGCTTTCTAAAGTGTTCGAGATTTTAATTTCTTTTCTTTTCTTTTTTTTTTTTTAGTTTGTAAAGCAACAAAAGACAAACACCAGCAAAGAATATGCAAACTCAATGCAACATTGTAACAGACATTATCTTTTCAAGGGAGGTTTGATTTTTTTCCTTGAAGCTCCCAAGAAATAATAGGGAAAAAAAGGTTCCAGCATAGAAAAGTGTGGACACTCTTCTGCCTCGACTGTAAATATAGCCTGAAGATACGTCATTTAAAAAATACTTTCCCCTTTGCTTCAAATTCTCTAGAGTTCTTATAATCTTTATAAAGAATCTCAGGATGGTAGGGGGTTGTTCTGGGGAAAATTCTCCACCCACGACACTTCACAATAACCGAAATTCAGTCAGGAGTTCTGTGGAAATATTATTTATGAGCAGATATGACTGTTTGCAAAGATTGTAAAGCAGAAAATGATTTGTGTTTGAGGCTATAATTTACTTCTTTGACTATTTTAGATGGGCAGAGAGGGAGGCTGCTAAAAATGTTCTGAAGTTGAAACATTAGTTGGGGTTCAGATCACACACACACCGAAAGTGATGTGGAGAATTAGGAAAACCTCATCTATCAAGGCAGCGGACTCAAAGTTTGAGGTGGGTGGACTGGCCCCCCCAAGGCGCTTGCAGGGGGACAGGGGGCTTGTCTGGGGGAAAGGTGGGAAACCTGCAGCTTCCGTGATGGATGAGAGTCTCGAGTAAGTCATGCCAGAATGGGCGGTTTTACTGAAAGCCTGTGAGGAATGTCAAGGCTGGCCCTAACTCTCTGGCAACTTCTGAATTTTCACATCGGGTCCCAAGAGGCCTGGCCATATTTCATTCCTGTCAAAACTCTGATCCCTGCCATAAATCCAGCCACGTCCCCTGTTCTTTGAGCTAGGTAGAGTAGCTCTCTCTCTCTCTCTTTTTTCCCCTCAGAAACATGATTTTCCAGTACTGGGAGTCTTGAGATAAATGGAGCATTTCAGTACAATGTGGTGCCCTCGACCCTCCCCCACGTAACTGTCTGATGTGTCCGGGGGGGCACGCTCTGTCTTTGGCTACTTCATGGAAACTGAGCAAAAAGGAGAAAAACAAAACAAAACTAAAGGTCAGCTCTAAACAGTCATTATGAAGAATAATATAACATTTTCAGAACAACTGGGGCCTGCAGAGGTCCCAAGTTGACAATATAACAGTATCTTGTATCTGTTCTTTCCTAGATTTTGAAAAGAAGGTAAAATCGAGAATGTCCACATACAAAGTGTATGTACAGTAAATAGAAGAGAAGATAAACTGAAGTTGCTCACTTTATCAGAATGTTAAAAATGGTAAAGGATTTCATAAATTGTAAGCCTATGCAGAGTGGTAACAGCATGGTGATTTTAACGGAACAATTTCTAGAAAGCTAAAAAAGTGTTCTTTGCTAAATATTGTATTATCATATATCATGAATGTATTTTAAATATTTTAAATGATTAAGAATGGGAAATTACTTGTAAAACAAAAGGAGATTCTCTTTGTGTATACATTATTTCAGTTTAAATTACATGTTCTTTGAGATGACCTTGTGCTCTGTAGGAGAAATAGTAAAACCGGGATATGTTAGCACACCTTATGTTTGATCTAGTTGTTACTAGACAAGAACCACGGACTTGTTTCTATTTCAGTGAAGTTTCCAAGTTCACAGAAATTTAGAAACATGCTGTTTCCATAGCAGCAAATAGTAAAACTAAGAAGATCTGATTGACTTTAACGAGGTTTAGAGAATTTGTCCTCCTTTTGGTCATTTTTGCTCTTTTTTAAAGTCTTCTAGCAATATTTTACATTCTCTTTTCTAAATGTATTTAATAAGCCCTGGCTGGTGTGGCTCAATGGATTGAGCGCTGGCCTGAGAACCAAATGGTTGCTGGTTCAATTCCTAGTCAGGGCACATGCCTGCATTGCCAGCCAGGTCCCCGGTGAGGGGCATGAGAGGCAACCACACATTGATGTTTCTTTCCTTCTCTTTCTCCCTCCCTTCCCCTCTCTCTGAAAAATAAATAAAATATTTTAAAAAATGTATTTAGTAAATCATACAAATTTTAAAATTATGATAATTGCAACATTACTGCAAAATTACACGTACTTATGGTAACACAGAATAACAAATATTTAATTCTTAGTGTAAAAAGGATGCTACAGTACAGAGTCAAGATCAGACACCGAAGAATCTAAGTGCATGTAATATAATGTTACTATATGAATAAAATATAAATTGTATTACAAATGCTTTTAGATGATTCATTACTGATTAAAAAGCACCATATAACATTTGCTGTTACTGTGAATTTCTTTGGACTCAGACTAGGAATTAGGCTTTTATGCACTAAGTGTTGTAACTACAAAATGCAAGTTTATCCACGGTGAATGAGGCAGCACCATGGGGAAAACTGAAATTAGCAGCACAGTTGTTCCAAGTTAACATGCAAAGCAAACAGGAAATAGATTTTCTTTTTTGTGTATTTGTTGTTTAAGTTATATGTTTCTCACCAACTTCCTGCTCTCTTAAGATCTCCATTTGTCGGAATGGAGGACACCGGCTCACCTGTAACGGACATGCAGCCCAGCGGAGCAATGAGGGTCACAGGCGCAAACCCATAGGCTGCGAAGTTCCCCGTCTCCCCCACGGCCGTCAGCGCCACCCCGCACCACCACAGCGCGCTCTTGAAGAACGGCCTTGGGTGTTCTTGCTGCGCCAGCCGAAGGTAAGAATATTTCTGGAAGTTAATCAGAATGTAAATAAGAAAATACTTCTACCCAGTTAAAACTTGCCTTAAAACTGTTGGCCCTATCCATCTGTATCATGGCTTTAAATTTTTTTTTGCAGATCATTGTAGAAAAATTACTATGGTTTTATGTTTGTTCCAAACATATTAACAGTAGGAGTAATTCACAATGACATAGCATTTTATAGTTAAAAGGGTCTTCTCACAGGTGAATGTTGCTTAATTCAATAACAACTCTGTAAAATAAGTATCAGCATTATCTAAAGATGAGGTGTAAGTAAAGGAATTAAATGACCTTTTAGTCCACTACCAAAACAGTTATGTTAGAATATCAAAAAGTTCAGATGCCAAAAGAAACATCAATGAAATAAAAATATTAAGTTGCTAGAGAAAAAGGTTTTGAAAGGAGATTCAAATTCATGAGTCGAAGTAGCTGCCACAATGAACATGGCAGGACAGGACACTTTGGTAGCAGGGTCTGGCTTATGGGGAGTCTAATCTACTCTGGTTTGGCTATTTGTATTTTAAACATAAATTTTCTAAAAAACCGGCCAGTAATTAAAGCTCTATTTCCTTATTGACTTTATGATAACTGAACTTCCTTATAAAAAAGTATGTACAATTCTAGATGAGTTTTAAAATCTTTTAAAGAAAACAATAAAAGTACTAGAAAAAAAACATAGCACATTAAAGAAAATCTTAGCTTATGCCAAGACTACGAACATCATTCTAAGTGTGGTACAAATTCATAAGCCACCTAGGCACCTTGCCTAAGGTACACAATACTAGTAAGAGGCCCACAAAAACATTTAATTTCTTTTAAAATCAGAATTTAAAAACATGAATGTGATACAGCTAGATGATATTTGTCTTTATATCAGTGAAGCCACACAATATAATTTTTATATTTTTAATGGAGGAAGAGCCCAAGGAGGCAAAGGTGCCCAGGGCCCATTAAAGTCATGTGTTAGAAAACTGACTTAGAAAAGTAAGCTGCTTCTTACCTGGATATTTAGGGAAATGCTGATTACCAGGTTTCCTAAAATGGCCAGGAAAACTCCAAAAAGGTGAATCTGAAAAAGAAAATGTCTTCTTTAAATGGTATACTAATAGCACTTGTAAGATATTTACTGAAAAAAGCCCAAACAATAAAATAATTTTAAGTTAATACAGTCATTTTTTCATTCAGCAAATATTTACTTAGCAGCCATTTGTGAGGGTTGTTTGGAAGAGGAGGAATGATTTTCATTAGGATTGCTAGCCCATCTTTCCTTTCCTTGACTCTAACCAGTGAGTGTCCCTTATCCCTTTTTTATATTGTCATGTGCACCACTAGGCCCTCTAGATAGAGAGCCAGTTCTTTGAGCTAAGAGAACCATGTCTCAGGCTTCTATTGGGTCTCTGACATCATCTACTATACAAAATTAGGAACTTGAAAAATACTTGCTTGGAAAAGCATATAATGCTTTAAAACAAGAACTATTCAGGTTAAAAAGTTAGTTTTGCACAGGCTGATGTGGCTCAGTTGGTTGGAGTACGGTCCCATAAACTGAAAGGTCACGGGCTTGATCCCCAGTCAGAGCACGTGCCCAGTCTCGGGTTCAGTGCCCAGTCTCTCACATCACTGTTCTCTCTCCCAGTCTCTCACATCACTGTTCTCTCTCCCAGTCTCTCTCTATACCCCTGCCTCCCCCTTCCCTCTCTCTCTCTGGAATCAGTCAATAAATATATACAAATAAAATAAAATACCCTGTCTTTTAAAAAAATAGTTTTTACACATTGCCCAAAATGTTTACTATGGACAGTGCATCTCTTATTTGATGACTTCAAAAGATGCATGAGCAGCTCCTAGCTAAATAACAAGTATAATATCTCCCAGCATTATGAATTAGCAATGATCTAAGGGATCTTTCCCTCTCTTCTTCCACAGTACATAACTTCTAGCTAGCTTTAAATTCCAAGGGGCTATTTAAATTTCAAATGAACATTACGACCATAAGGAACCCTTTTCAGAATGCAAAATGTCTTTGAAGTTTTAGAACTTTATTATATGTGTTGAAGCGAAATTCAGTATTTTTAAAAAATGAAGCAAAAAAGTTGAAAACCCATTTAATAGTTGATATAGAATATCCCTAGTCTTTAATCAGTTAAGAATTTTCTTTTCCTAATAAAGGCAGTTGGCAATAATTTTGATCGCTGTTCCTCATGGGGAACAATTGTATAATACAATGTGCCATTTCCATGCTTTTGATTTATACAATTAAATGCATTTGGCAGCAATCAGGAAGATAAAGATTCAGATGAAGTATGGGATTGAACAAATAATTATGAAAATCTTCCATAATTATAAAAGTAAATTGTTAAATAGAAATAACTGACATCAAAATTCTTTAAATAATTCGCTGAGTAGTTTAAATGCCACCAGGCCAATTGTTAAGAAATTGGTAGCAGCATTTGGCAATGATCTCTTGGAAATGACACTTAAAAGCACAGGCAACAGAAGAAAAAAACATGTAAGTCGGACTTCATCAAGGTTAAAGTCTCTTGTGCATCGAAGGACACTATTAACAGAATGAAAAGGCAACCCATGCAATGGGAGAAAGTATTTGCAAATCATATATCTGATAAAGATTGATATCCAGAATACATAAAGAACTCCTATTACTTAACAACAAAAAACCCCAAACAACTCAGTTAAAAAATGGGCAAAGAACTTCAATAAACTTTTGTCCTAAGAAGATACACAAATGGCCAATCAATAGACATATGAAAAGATATTCGACAGTCCTAATAATTAGGGAAACGCTGATCAGAACCACAGTGAGCTCTCACTTCACGTCTGTTAGGGTTGCTACAACTAGAAACAGAAAACAAGTGTTGGTGAGGATGTGCAGAAACTGAAACCCTTGGGCTTTGCAGATGCGGATATATAACATGGTACAGCTGCTGACCTCACACCATGTGCATTAACTCAAAATCAAAGACCCAAGTGTAAGAGACAAAACTAGAAAACTCTCAGGATAAAACATGGGAGTAAATCTTCATGACCTTGGACTTGGCCATGGAATCTTACAGATAAGACATCAAAACATAAGCAACAAAAGAAAAAGTAATTGGACCTCATCAATATTAAAAATGTTTGTATTTTAAAGGACACTATTTAGAAAATGAGTAGACAACCCATAAAATGGTAGAAAATTTTATAAATTATGTAACTAGTAAGGGACTTGTATCTAGAATATATAAAGAACTCTTACAACTCAATACTAAAAGGACTAATAACCCAAATACAAATGAGCAAATGATCTGAATAAACATTTCTCCAAAGAAGACAAATGTCTAATAAGCACATGAAAAGATGCTCAAGATCATCAGTCATCAGGGAATGCAAATGAAAACCACAGCAGAATACCTCTTCACATGGAGTAAGGTGGCTAAAATAAGAAAACATCAGATAATAACTACTATTAGCAAGAATGCAGGTAAATCAGAGCCCTCATCCACTGCTGATGGAAACGTAAAATGGTGAAAACTTGGGGAACAGTCTGGCAGTTCCTCAAAAAGTCAAGCACGGACTTGCCGTTCGACTCCACCTCTACTCCTAGGTCCATTTCCAGGAGAAACGAAACCATTATGTCCACGCAAAACCCTGCACACAAATATTCACAGCAGCATGATTCACAACAGCCCGAAGTGCAGATGACTCACATGTCCACCAACTGGTGAATAAACAAAATGTAGTACATTCACACAGTGACCATGACTCAGCAATAAAAAAAGAAATGAAGGGCTGACCTGATGCTGCACCCCACTAGCCTTGAGAAGTTCATGCTGAGTGAAAAAAATCTAGTCACAAAAGGCCACATACCCTCTGACTCCATCTATATGAAAGGTCCAGAACAGGCAAATCTATGGAGATGGAGAGCAGATTTTTGGCTGCTTAGGGCTGGGAAGAATGGGAGGCTTGGGGAGGACAGCACAGGCACATGGCTTCTTTCTGGGGGTGACGGAGATGCTCTCAAATCGGCTGTGGTGCTGGCTGTACAGCTCTGTGAACACACCACAACCAGTGACTCACGCACCTTAAATGAGGGGTTGTATGGCATGTGAATTACAGTTTAATGCAGGTCTTACAAGAAATAAAATAGTTTTAAAAACACAGAAGCACTTACATCTCTGTTTTTTTGCCCATAGAAACAAAAACACCACAAAAGGTAGCTAGCTCTATTTCAGTCTCCTCTCTCCCAGAGATGTTAACTTTTTTTCTGAAGTTGGTATCTTTCTTTACTAGATTTGTTTTATTTATCTTTATTTACTCAAATTTGCTTTTTAAATCTTCTTTATTTGAACTCAACTCATTAGCTTTCCCTTTTTCTAATAATCTATGCACGCATGGCTATATATATTTCTAAGTACATCGTGTTGGCTGCTTGCATGGCTTTGGCATGTGTAGTTTTCACTGACATTTAGTGCTAAATATTTTCTACTTGCCTTATGTTTCTTGGAGCCTTATATTATTCAGAGGCATGATTTTTAATATTTTTAAACAAATGGGGTGTTATCATTTTGTTACTAATTTCTAATTTTATTGAACTGTAGGGAGAAAATATTCTGTGTGTAAATTAGCATTTGCTTTTTGACCTAGTATGTGGTGTAAACTGAAATTTGCTTTCTGACCTCATAGTGTATGGTCACGTTTTATAAGTGTTCCATGTATGCTTGAAAAGAAAGTATTTAATTGTTGGGTTAACATACCTTTTATTCTTTCTTTCTTTCTTTCTTTCTTTCTTTCTTTCTTTCTTTCTTTCTTTCTTTTTCTATCTATTCATCTACCTACCTCCATTAAATTGTTGCTCAAATCTTACTAAATCTTGTACTTCGTCTATCAATGGCCAAGGGGAAGAATATTAAAAATCTATGACAAACATGGATTTATCCAATTTCTCCTTTAAAATATATTGAGTTTTGCTTTACACATTTTAAGGCAATGGTGTCTGAGTTTACAAGTTTAGGACTGTTTTATATTTCCAGTTAATTGTTCCTTTTATCATTATGTATTGAATTTTAAAATCTCAAATAATGTTTTTGCTTTAAAGTCTATTTTATTGGATATTAATATAATGTTGCTGCTTTCTTTTGATATTTGCAACTTTACATATCACTTTACTTTCAAAATTTCCGTTTTATTTTAGTCAGGCCTTTAATACATAGAAAATAAGTGAACAAAAATACCCAAGACTTTCTGTCAAATGGGAAGTTCAGTCCATTTTGTTTATTTTGAATACAATTTTTTCATGTGTATTTGTAGGTGTCTTGCTTTTTATTTCCTTTCTGTTTCCTTTTTTCCTGAATATTGTTGGATTGATTTTCTTTTTCTCTTCCCTCTACTGTTCTGGCTAGGAAGTTACACATCTTAGGTATATGTTTTTTTAGTAATTACTATGAAACTTTTAAAACTTTTTATTTTGCAATAATTATGGACTGACAGCAGGTTGCAAACAAATGCACTGTTACATTCTGCGCACTCTCCCCCAGCCCTCTCCTTAGTGCCAATGTCGTACAGAGCTACAATAAAATGGCAAAACCAAGAAGTTAGCACTGGTAAAGATCTTACTTAGATTTCACCAGTTGTACTTGCACTTGTGTGTGTGTGATCAAGATGCTGCTCTGTACCATTCCCCACACCATGCCCTCCCCATTGTCTTTCCCTCCCTGTCCTGAACTTCTAGCAACCGCTAATTCTGCTCTCCATATTGGAACTGTGTTATTTGACAAATGCCACATAAATAGAATCACACAGCTTGTATCCTTTTGAGGTTGGCATCAACCTTGAGGTCAATTCAAGTCGTGGGATCAATAGCATGTCCCGTTTAATCACTGGGCAGTATTCCACGGTGTGGACATACCATGATCATTTAGCCATTCGTCCATTGAAGGGCATTTGACAGTCAGGGGTGCCAGTGAATGTCAAAACTATGACAGCCAGTTTGGGGCTGTCTGAATAAAGCTGCTATGAACATCTGTGTACAAATTCTGTGTGAAAATAATTTTTTTCTGGGTTAAATGCCCCAAA